CCTTTTTTTTTTGGGCAAATTTCCAACAATTTTTTTCCTCACAAAATCATTAGAAATACATCTCCCACAAACTAATTATCTTCTAAAAAATATTTTGTTAATAATTTCCAACAACTTAAAAATTATTGCTAATTTCCAACGATATGATATTAGTTGGAAAATTCCAACGACATTCCTACGAATTCGGCGACGTAATTGCGACAACCAAAATTTGTTGGAAATGTGCAATGAATTTCTAACAAATTGAACATTAGACGGAATTTTATGGGATATTCAATTGAAATTTTCAACAAAATACGATTGTTGGAAGCATCCGTTGGAATATCACATGTTCTCTTGTAGTGTATTTTACGTAAGAAAAAAATCATAACCGACTAGGATCAAAAGATTCAAAACCATAAGAAAAAATATCATAATTTGGACCCAAATATTTAAATTAGTTTTTTGATTGAACACAGACAAATAAAAACTATTACTCACTGCATCATATATCATATGATAAATTAAGCATTCACATAAAATTTTAAATTATATGAAAAAACAATTTTCTCATCACAATTAATTGAAAAATAAAATTAAAACAACAAAATCTTGATTTTTTTCTCATTTTGTGTTATTAGAAGTTTGATTTTATCGTACCGTCATTTACTTATTTTGTTTTTTCTAATTTAAATACCTTTTTCTACAAATTTTGGTCATTTACCTTATTGACTCTATTTTTCTATCCGCATGCAGTGACAACAATTGAATCATTATTAATTCGTATGACTCATTTTATTAACATGTACTCTATAAATGAGCTGTATCAATTTGCTGTACATTCAATTTACCAAACTTCATGAAAGAAATTTAAGTACATTTATCATTTTAAGGAACATAGTTAATCTTGGGCCTTAGTTTTTTCTATATAATTTGAAAATAACCTTTTCTAGTTTCACGATATTAATGTCTTTGTCAAACCCTAGAAATACTATACCATATATACCTAGATAACCTTAACTAAGAGCATTTACTTCTTGCGACTAATTAATATGTAGGACTGTCTTTCTCTCATCAAATATGTAAAGCAAGGAAAGAAAAAACACTATAAAAGCAAAGTGAGTTCGTGGTATTATCTCAAACAAAAAAAAGATTGGCTTCCGTTTCTCAATACAAAACCAACAACTTTTGCTCATAAAAGAGAAAAAGAGAGAGATGGTGATGAAGCGCAAAGAGATGGAGCAACCTAGCAAGTTTAATCGGTACTCAAACAATTCTCAGTTTCAAGTTGATCAATCTTTAAATGATGACATGGCAATAGAAAAGTTTCGTGCTAATATTCGTTTATCCAGTCGTTCTATTCGCAAATCAGATGCCCAACCATTTAAGAACATTCGTTATAGTTCTAAACATGGTTGTTACACCATTACTTCTGAACCATCTTCTTCATCTTCTTTAACCTCATTTCAATGTGATTTATCGCAAAATATTGTCCGTGGCAATGCTCATATCCCCGAGATTTACACAAGAGATCTCATTTCAACCATTGGAAGTGCTGACCGTTACCCGGTAGATCGTGTTCCAAACTTCGAAGAAAACAGTTCCATCATCAATGATTCCAAAAATTTGGGGCTTGATTTGTCTCTCAAAATGTAATCCTAATATTTGTCTTTAAAAATTTGCATCTTTTGTTGACAAAGCAAAAAAAGTTGCATCTTTATGTTTATCTCGAGATCAGACAAAGAAAAAGTTTATTTCATATTATGTACTTGTTTTG